AACCGAAAATCGAAAAAAAACCGCAAATTTTAATTGGATTGGTTCATTTTTTGGATTGGTTGATGAAAACCGATCCAATCCAAACCGATCCAATATATTAATTTTCTTCTACCTACTTGGGTTTTTCCCCAATTATAGCCCAAAAAATTCTAAATTCTAAATCCAAGATCCATTAACCCATCAACTAAACCCAAGAAAAAATCTAGTCACATCTCATCAGCAAAATTTCATCTGTGTAGAGCTTCATATCTCATTGCCCAGAAAAAAATTATATTATCGTTTAATGATGCTTTTGTATTTCAAAAAAAAGAGAAATTTACAAAGTCAATATATACAAAAGATGTTATTTGCACAATAATCATTAAATAAATTTTAGGATTTTCAAAAAATCGAAAACCGATCCAATCCAAACCGAAAAATATTAGATTTGAAAAAAAAAATCAAATTGAATGGATGATTACATGATCAAACCGAATGGATTGAACCAGATGATTTTTGCTTCCAAAATCGATACAATCCAGACTGCGAACAGCCCTAGTGAAGACCACAAATCATAGTTTAAATATTTTTGTAGCTCATTGTAGAATAATCAAAAGATATTCTTCAATCAAAAGATTGCAAACTTCTAGGTTTATTTTCTGCTAGAATATCATTTCACGAAGAGATACTTTGATTAGTTGCTTCCGCCAAACTTTATTTGTCCGAAGCATTAAAGCGGGACGGAAACAATTATAGCTTGCATGGAACTAATTAATGTTGATCAATTGGCTATAATAATTAAGAAAACCTTGAACCTAATCGACAACTCATGGTGGGATTGTAACTGTATGTTGAAAAATTAGGAGTTGGGTTTGTATTTTTTTTTTCCCCTTTTCAATCATGACAATTAACATCAATATTCTACTAGTTTTTGAGAAAAAGATGCACACAATGAACACGCATTTGCATTGATTGGAAGTTCCTTAGTTAGGAAGAACCATTTTTTTTTTTTTGGTAACAAGGAAGAACCATTTAATTAATTCAGTAATTTTATTATTAATTTATTTACAAGGGAGATCTTGGACCTAGGGTGTGGAGTAAAACAGTAGACCAAAGTTGAAGCAAAACAACCTTTATATGAAGTTTGAATCCGGGATCAACTAACCTTTAAAGAGACTCTATATCACTTGAACTAAAGTTGTTTGGGGAATATTTCAATTTAAATTTTATGAAGAGTCGTCGACTCTTCGAACCGCTTGAATTTCGGTACAGATTTAAAAATTAATTGTTTGCGAATTTTCAAACTGTAAGATTAGGTGAAACTTATAGGTATATTATATTTCTCCATCCCAATAATACTTTAGGACAATTAATTTGTAGAAAGAAGGTTTATAATACTTCAAACCAACTCATATTTTAAGTGTCAATTTAGTTAATAGAATTTTAGACTAAATCCTGCTTTCAATTAAGAGAAAATAGTTTAAGGATAGTTACGTCTTTTCATTTAGCTATCTATCAGTATTATTGATATCGGCAAATAACACATTCTAATTGTAGATATCGTAGTAGGAATATTTTCTACATATTAATCAACGGTAAGATATTATAATAATCAATTAGTGTTATTACCAATGTTACTATCGATTATGTTGATCTACCAGTTATATTTATTTTTATCTTTGTAGGGTTATGATTCTCCATAATTAATACTTTATATTTATTTTCACCTTTGTATGGTTATGATTTCCAATATTTAATGTTTTCGCATTAAATATGGGAAATCATAATCATACAATTATAGAAATAAATATAACCGTTAGATCAACATAATCGATCTAACGGTGAAATTGATTAGTACTAATATTGGCATAATTGGTTGTTACAATATCCTATCCCATTAATAAACTCTATAGACAATAAAAAAAAAACACATAAATTTTTTTTTTTTTTTTTTTTTTTTTTTGGAAACAAAAATTTTCAAATACAGGGATATGGTTGTTATCTATTTATCTGGATTTAGTTATTGAAAAACTTTATAATTAAAAAAAATTACAATTTGAATCCTCCTGACTCAACCCGAGACTAATAAACTAGGTCGATGATATCCAGGTTAAGTCAGAAAAATTGAATATAGAACTCGACTCAGTTAGTATAGTCGTCGGGTCTCGAGTCTATTTAGTTTTTTTCGTGTTAAAAATATTTTTATATTATTTTATTTTTTATATTTTTATAAACTTTTTTAAAAAATAAATATATACACAAGCGGATAAATTAATTTAAATTTAATGGGATTAATTTAATTTGACTTGAGCAATTTTGTTTCAAAAATTAACCCAAATTTACAAAAAAATAAAATAAAATAAATTATATATGTCCTTTACGAATGACAATTCTATATTCAAAATTAAATACTTTCTAAACTTGATCGTTACTTTTTCATTTTCAACGTGCAAATTATAATGAACAGTGCATCCCACGACCTGGGAGCTCATTGATCACATGTACGGCTCCTAAATTCCAATTCAACCCACGATCACGCGCTGGACATTAAAAATAGTTTGCAGTCGTATGAAATGACGTAAACTTCATTAGAACATATATAAATCTAAAATAAAATTAATCACTTGCATTCCACCCACCCCACCCCTCAAAAATTATTCACTTTCCTTTACTTTTGCTTTGTTTATTTTCCATCACGTACAGTTGTTATTATTATTATTATTATTATTTGCCCCTCTCTTTTCTTTTCAGGGGCTGAGTTACATTGAATCCACCTTTTAGACAAAGTGCAATAATATAACCCTCACACTGAAAATTCCTAATCATTTCTTAAACCATGTTGGTGTAAGTTCATTGGTGGTTCACTTTTCGTGAACTCGTTCGGTTTATAATTCTTTACCTTTATAATGCTAACACCTATCAACTGACTTGTATCTGGGAGCTTTCCAAGGGCTATTTCTTATTTCTTATTCATTTTCACTCTTTTCAACCGTCCCAAAAGCCTTGAGCATCCAGAAACAGTACTTCCTTGCCAATGAAATGCAAAGATTTCTTGGGCTGGACATTGTCTAAATTTTGCAAAGAAAAATAGCCGTACTCCAACGGCGGACCTGCACTATTGACCTGTTTTGCTTCTAGAATTGTATAGTTAATTTAGTTTAGATTTACTAAATGGTTACTTTCTCTTGTCTTAATGATTGGTATTATGGTCATGTACCTAAAAGTCACATTTTCAATTCTTATATTTAATTTTTTGCAAATGTAATATAAAGCTATCTACCGTATACCCTTTCATGAATCCTGTGCATAGCGAGAGCTTTTAAACAAAAAATGTTAGGGGCACTGCTATTGAACCCCTGCCAATAAATGTGTAGACATAAATATAATTTTTTGAGTGCGCCAGTGCCGTACTCTATTTGGATATTTGAGATGCAGCATCATACCCCACTAATGTTGGCATCACATATATATTCCCATGTGACATGCTATATTGAACAAAGACACACAATAAGTCATGATTTTAACTTTCTATGTGTCATGTTGAGTGTGCCTTATACACATGTAAAAGATAGGATTATTTTATATCAATATAATTTATTGAATTGTTTGAGTGATGAGATTAGGTCTATTTTTCTCGAAAGAGTAAATTATAATCAATAAACAATGCTCAAAGAGACAGTGATATAAAGCTTGGTGAGGGTTACCGTGAATAGGCTCAAAGTGAAGGCAGAGAGCAAGTGGGTGTCAAAGGGCAATGTGGCATCTGCAGAGTAATAGCTCTAAAATTTGTGTGTTGTAAGTGTTTCTTTAATGACTGAAGAGGGGTATAAATATGTAGAAAAGATACTCCAATGATAAGTAAGAGAATGAATCATAACCAGGGAGATCTCGTGGCGAGGAGAGATCGCCAACCGCATGGGCTAAGTGAGTAACAACATTAAGTCGACTTGGAACACCACAATCAAACTCAAAACCTTAAGGCATTAGGTGCACGAGTCTTTCCACTTATACGGTGCTCACTAATTAGTCCATTCTTAATCAATATGAGACTTTTTCACTCAATCATTCACATTTGGATTCCTCAACATCTCCCCCCTCAAGTGTGAGTCCTAAACTCACATTCTTTCCTCCTCAAGGAGAAGGTTCTTCAAGTATTCATGGGGTTCATCAATGTTTGGTTTCTCATCAAACATTGGCTCCCACATCGGATCACCACATGCCAATCCACCATTAGCTTTGATATCAAATGAAAGATTTATAACTCCTGGATCATGTATATGATTATAAAACACCCAAACAATATGAAATTAAAATTGGGATTGTGTGTACCTTGTTGGGCTATTACAAAATTGGAGGAAAAGAGTGACTACATGGCAGGATCTTTCTCTCTATCGCCTATTCCGAAAGTGGTAGCCTTCTTGCAAAGGTAGCATGACTGCTTATGGGGCTTAACCTCAATAATAGGCTAGAGATGAGACCTAACCAAATACTCTAAAAAGAGTTTGCATACGCTGGGTCCATCCATCGTGGAAACCAGAGTCATACTAAAATCTACACTATTGCCCAACTAGACCCAATATCAATAGATGTCATAAGCCCAACTCAACATGATCAGAATGGGCTAATCAATACTTAAAATTGGAATACTCATTACTCTGATTATTTTAAAATACAAAACTAATTAATTAATATTGCTCACATAAACAAAAATTTTCAACATTTTTACCCTAGTTTGAACTATTGTGTGTGAGGCAAGCACACTCACATGTATATGTGTGAGTTGTGTTGGTGCAGGATGTGAAATCCTCTACAATGAGAATCTAAAAGTCTCACTTTAAGAATGCAAAAGAGTAAGCCCTTAAACAGAGTGTAAAACTTTTTATTCTAAATTAATAATACACTATGTAGAATGTATGTACTCATCTATATATATATATATATATAATAGGATTCGATCTGGACTCGATTCTCAGTCTATTATAGTAAAAAGAGAGAGAGAGTAGTTGTTCGGATATCGAAAAATGGTTGATAACAACATTGGAGGTAGTTCCTCAAACGATTATGGTGTTATCAAGGAACAAGACCGGTTGCTGCCAATAGCCAATGTTGGTCGGATCATGAAGCAGATTTTGCCTCAGAATGCAAAAGTATCGAAGGAAGCAAAGGAAACAATGCAAGAATGTGTGTCAGAGTTCATAAGCTTTGTAACCAGTGAAGCTTCAGATAAGTGCAGGAAGGAAAGGAGAAAGACCGTGAATGGGGATGATATCTGCTGGGCCCTGACAGCGCTAGGTTTTGATGAATATGCAGACCCAATGAAAAGGTACTTGCATAGATATAGAGAATTAGAGGTAGATAAGGTCAATCAAGAAAGAGGAAATAGCCCTGAAGATAAAGATCAACTAAATAAATTGTGCAACAGAGATATTAGGCTCTAATTAACCAAATGCTAACTGAAGTAGAATGTGTCTCAGTAGTTTTTTGCATGCTTTGTTTAATGATCTATTGAATTTGAGAATCAGTAAGTCTTGTCCATGGTTTCTTCAGAATTCAGTTTTATTTATAACTTGGCTTCATAGCATGTTATTGCTCAACCATTTATATCTGTCCATTATGTTTCTCCAAATCAAATAACAATTTTCTGTACTTACAAACAGTTCTTCTTCGTTATTAATTGATGATAGATTAATTAATCTAGCATGTACTTTCACAAGAATTCTAGATTAAAGAATATGAAAGGAAGTTCATCCTTCAAGCAAAGTTCACAAGAAGACAGTTTGATCTGAGTTTCATAGAGGATAATCTAGGAATTTGCTCACACTTTCATTTTTGTTGATGAATTCGATCCCAAGATTAATTTCCATGAATTTTCCACCGTTAATTTGCTAACCTCTAAGATCGATGTTTATGTTCGATTTCATCATTGTTTAGATTTTGGTTCATTGTATTTGTCTTGTACCAATCTTATTTAAACTCTCCATCGCCGTCACCAAACAAACAAGCATACCTAAGTAACTTTCTAGGGTTTCTTTGCATAGTGAATTGTAAGCATCAATTAATTAGTATCTTCACTAGGTGTTGAGTTAATTTTTTTAAGCTTCAGAGTAAGATTAGGGTTTCCTTAAAATTCATTTTTTAACCGCTTGGACCACAACTTTTACTGGGCTCAATTAGTATTATATTATGAGGGAGTAGGGAAATTGGTGATTAGTTAAAGAAAATAAATAAGGTTTCAAATAATGTTATCAAATTCGTATCCGTTAACGACTCAGTCAAAGTATTAGGTCAGTGAATCACCTATTCAATTTGTGGATTATTAGTTAAATCGCTTTAATTTGGTCTAATGATAAGTGTTGTAAATTGCAATTCTCATAGCATGAACCGTTTGAAAGTTCCATTTCAGGATCAACGTCTAATCCGGTCCAATTTTCATAATACTAATTGTAACAATCCCACCCTTTCCCAAAAAAAAAAAAAAAAAAAAAAAAAACTTCCTTTCAATTCAAACTTGCATTGAACAGCAACTCTCAGAAGAAATCAAGGACGAAAATTCAGGAAGCATCAACCAGACAAAATGATTTAATTTTGAAAAGTGGCAGTATATAGAGAGCATAAATAATATTTCTTCGAAGGAAGGTATAAAGAGCTAGCCAATTAAATCATGAAAACATGAATATATACTGTACACTTGCACTTCCCTATATGGTAACGTTTTATTGAACATATAGTTATATATATAACAAGGACCAAGGTAATCTTTGCCATGGCCAACGAATACTCACCAAGTGTCTTGCACGCAATTGGTTACCTTAGAAAGCATGCAACATATTTAACATCTTGCTGGTTGGAGTAACGTGTGTCACTGTGCCTAGAAACTAATTAGCACTAGCATAAATATTGAGATATTGCATTCCGATGAACACCACGAACCACACTAACTTTTTGTGAGTCTTGGTGCATTTGTAAAAGCTAGACAAGCGGAAACAACACTATATTTTTTTATGAAATTCATTATAGAAATATAACATAAAATTATTAACACGATCTTTATTTAATTATTTAAATTTTTGGGTTAAAATAATTTTTTATATCATTCTCTAATTAATAAATTAGACTTTCAGAATATTCTATAATTAATTAGTTGTCTCATTCATTTCAATTCAAAATCAAGCTAGAAAAGGCTTTGTTGTGAGAGGTTGTACCCACAATAGCGTGATCTCTCTCCCTCGAGGGAATTGTCTTTGACTTTCGGCTGGGGGATACCCTTGGAACAATTTTCAAAAAAAAAAAAAAGTTTAGACACATTTGTTGTCTAACAAATAAGTTAGCGTATCGTATTTGATTTTTGAATTTCGGATCATGGGAATGAAATAAAATGGAATCACCAATTCTCATATTTGTTTTGATCAAGAATGGAAGATTATCGCACTCCATCCATATCTATATAATAGAATTATGGCAATAGTGGCAAAGTAAAAATTAAAATCCAATAGCAACAATTCTTTATCTTTATATAGTAAAATCTATACATATAATTTTAACTTAATTACTTCTATGCCTATACATTGGTCATGGTAAGAATTGGTGAAAAGAGGATACTTTTTGCCATTTCAAATGTTAATTAAATATAAAACAAAATGACTCTGATAATTTTTCTGCGGATTAAATATACTTTTGGTATCAATAAATAATATTTTTTATTTTTTTTAAATGCTTTTGGTAGCTATATATTCTTTATCTTTAGTAAAATCTATACATATAATTTTAACTTAATTATTTCTATGCCTATACATTGGTCATGGTAAGAATTGGTGAAAAGAGGATATTTTTTGCTATTTCAAATGTTAATTAAATATAAAAACAAAATGACTCTGATAATTTTTCTGCGGATTAAATATACTTTTGGTATCAATAAGTAATATTTTTTATTTTTTTAAATGCTTTTGGTAGCTATATATTGTTAAGATGGATGTGTTAATGTCACAAATAAATGTAAAAACAAACTCTCGAAGGAGGTGGTTCTAGCTTGATCTGTAAGGAAGTTTCTTTAAGAGAGCAACAAACACGTTACCAAATAGTGGTAGTTCCGTTGTCAGTAAAGGAGCTGAATATGTGAAAAAGAAAAGGCATTGGTTCGATCCTCAAATGTCATTTTTGGGAGAGGTTTAAATATCTTTATCCCTAACTCGCCCCACACTCCGAATTAGTCTCATATCCTTCTCAAAGAGTCAAAATTTGTGAAGATACTGGAGGGAGCCGACTCGCCTCAATACAAAAAGATAATTAAGGTTGAGTTAACTCCAAAAAAAGAACAACCAAGAGTCTCAACCACGTTGTGTCACAATAGGTATTTTTGCAAAGGATTATTTCTTCTTTACTTTTTGTGTTTTTAAGACGGTGTCTTTGCAAAGGGTTTTGTGGTTGATTTTTTTTAAAATATCAACCTATGTCCAAAATTCTAATAGACTCGATTAATTCGATTTTGGGTTTGAGCCTTCCACCAGAAATTTCGACTATCCGGTTTTGTGAGTGGTTTTATGTGGAGGTCAATGTACCTTTAGTTTAAGAGGGTTGAAGCATGGGAGTATGAGAAAGATGAAAGAGAGGGATTTACGGGTTCAGGTGTTTTAGGAATTGGATTTTTGTGTTTGGTTTCTGCTTTCACCATGTGGTGCTGTGATTTAGGTGTCGGGCTTTTGTGGAATATAGGCTCAATATTGGCTTGGGGGAGACACACATGGCTGCGTTTAGTCAAGCTTAGGCGTTAACGTTTGGGAAGGTTTATGATAGTCCTATACGAAATTACATCCGATGGGTTTAAGGGTTGCAACTTGAATTGACACACATGATATAAATTTAATAAAAATATTAATATATTCAATACAAATACGACAAAAACTTGAAAATGAATTAAAACTTCAACACAAACACGACAGACTTATTTTATGGGTTTGATGAACACGACATGAATAACCTTCAACTTTAAAATATGTCGCTTATTATGTGGGTTGGCATAACAAGACATAACACTAATAACTTACAACCTTAAAGTGTATCACTTATTTGCTGATTAACATGAAATTATAAGACATGAATAACATGTATATTGAATATTTCTTTCATCAATATCATGTTGACACTACATGACATGAATAATTTATAAGAAAATTAATATGGGTCAATTTTGTATTTGCATATTGACATGCAACACAAAATTAATTTTTTCGTATTAATTTTTGTCAAAACAAACACAATATGAATTTCAAAACTAGTCAATCAGAAAACAAAATTTTTATTTTATGTCAATGGATCATATAGAAAATTATTACCCTTAGATGGGATGAGATATAAATACAAGAGTGGGGCTCGATAGAATCATAATACTCGTCCTTTTAGAACAGGTGCTTACAAACTCGTCTAATATTTTCTTCTTGTTATTTTATAAATTTTTAATTATAAAAATCACTAAAAGTATATTATTCATGTAATAATAATTTATATAAATTAATTATTATAAAATGTGTTTAAGTTATTCTTTTTATTTTCATAGAAATTTTAAATTGTTGAACAAAATCGTGATATGTAAAAGAATTATGGAGTTCGATCGTGTCTCTCATGTGCACAACATTTTATCTCTCTGCGAGGGTTTTCTTTTTACAATGGGGTCATCGAGACCAGCATTGAAGGGGGAGGATGACAATCTCAATCGAATCATGAAGAAGCCAAAAGGATTGGTAATCCAAGATGAAGTGATGGATGAACACATGCAACCATGAGACGAAATCATTCCAGAAGCTCTGAACTTGGAGGAGAAAGCTCGCAAAAATCCAGAAGGTAAGGAAAGGAAACCCATCTCATACAAGGACTCTGTACTGAACCAGAATCTTATGGGAGGTCGAGTTTATATTGAAAGCGACGAGGAAGACTGAGTGAGTCAACAAAAGAAGGAAGATGCTTTTGGACAGGCTCAGGGAAAGTCAACCCTCTATGCCCCAAGTACTAGATCCTAAGTGATGAACACAAACAAGACTGCAAGGAATAGAGGAATGCCCTCATCTTCAAGGTGCTAGGAAAGAGGATAGGCATGATATTCTTGGTTAATTCCCTTCTGAAGATGTGGAGTTTAAAAGGTGCCTATGAATTTTTGGATCTAGAAAATGACTTCTACTTGGTGCGACTGTGAGGTGAGCAAGACTACCACCATGTTCTAGAGGAAAGGCCATAGGTAGTGCCAGATCACTATATCACTGTGCAGAAATAGTTTCATATTCGACCCTTATGATGACAGAGTCAGGAAGCTGGCGGTATGGATTCGAATCCCAAGTTTGCCTATAGAATTTTATAAATCTAAGAATATCAAAATATAGGAAACCTTTTCGGCAAGACCTTAAAGATTGACATAAATTCCATTAGATTATGAGAGTCTGGAGTAGAAGAGTTTACTGAAAGAGCAATGTTTGCTGGGGGGTGTGTCAAAGTAGATTTGAAAAAAGGCTTCTTAGCCAAATTTAGGATAGCAGATAGAGCTTTCCCTGTAGCTTATGAAGTGCTATATATGATCTGTTTCTAATATGGTGAATATGGACACAGACAAGATATATGCCTGAAAAACAAAGAGACCCCTACTCCACAGGATGCAGAAACCAATTCGATTATCTTACCTCCTCGTCATAAAGAAATTTCTTCTAAAAAGAGGATGAAAGAAATTGAAGAAAATGACAGTGGAAGTTGGATGATTGTCTTAAGGAACTTTAGAGGGAAAAACCCCCAAAGCTAACCAGAACAGAAACAATATCCCTGCCTCAGCTTCCTCGACGGTTTCAAAGGAAAAAAACAATATTGCTTTAGTGAAAAAGAAAGGCTCTAGATTTGATGTGATTAGCGCTGATCAAATGGAGAAAGATCATTCAATAGAGGACCCTAGGGAGGTTAAGGGAAAGGAAGTAAATTTGAATCAATTAGCTTATATAACGAAGAGAAAAAAAGAAGGAGAAGTTATCAGAGTCAGGACTACTTATCGCCCAAACAAACAGGAAAAATGGATCAAACCTAATCTCAGCCCTTCAAAAAAAGCCCAGCATCAGCCAAATAAAGAGTTGTTGGGCCTTCTGCTAGCTCCTTATCACCCCCTGTAGTGCCCAGTTTAGTGGACCCGAAGAATCTGTCCATCATCCCATCGCTGGAGAAGAAAGAGTTGAATCCAATTGTTGTGGAAAATCAACCATTATCCCCTAAGCCTATTCAAGATAAACCACCTGACGTGCTAGAAACAATAAGAATCTTTCATAAATCCCCAGGGGATAGGAACCCGATGGAAGATATCACCAATTTTGGTAGAGTCCAAGTTTATTAGAATATGCTCTAAGTGCCTTAGCACTTTTGTTTTTCTTCTTCTTAGTAGTTTTAATGATAGTGTGCAAATGAAATGTTAAGGGAATAGGGAATCTGGAAGAAAGGTCTCTCTGTCCTCTTAAAGGATTTTGTCTTGACAAACCGTATTCAAGTTCTGGTTTTACTAGAAACAAGAGTGGGAGGAAATAAGACTGAGAAAGTTTACAAGAAACTGGGTTTTGATAACCAATTCCATAAAGATACTATTGACTTTTCAGGAGGCATTAGCATACTGTGGAATAAAAATTCTATTGAGGTTAGCATCTTTGAGGCTAAGCACTAATACATTCATTCGAAGTTAAGGTGGACAAATTCTAGTAAGGAAGAGTATTTTACTTCTATATATGGCAATCCAAGAAGATTATAAAGATTCAGTCTTTGGGAGGATATTGGCATACTAAAAAACATTTCTTCTGGCTTGTGGGTGCTTATGGCAGATTTTAATGCTTACCTTAGCCATTCTGAAAAGAAAGGAGGTGGAGAGGCAACATGGAACTCTATCCAAGAGTTTCAAGAATGTCTTGATGACTGTGATTTGACTGATTTTGGATTCAATGGGCTTGCTTTTAGTTGGAAAAAAGGCAACATCTAGGAGAGACTTGATAAAGCAGTGGCAAATAAAAAGTGGTTCCTCCAATTTCAAGAAAGATCAGTAACTCATCATCACTTTAAAGGATCTGACCATAGACCTATATTCCTCAGAGAACATTATCAAAAGATGAGAAGAAGAACTCCTAGACCTTTTAAATTCCTAGAAGCTTAGCTTACTCATGAGGATTTTGACAACATAGTAAATTCAAGTTGGGGGGAGTATGATTAGGTTTCAGCCAAGAACTTTTTCCAGAAAAAAAAAACCCTTTGATTGGCATAACTCAACCTTTGTGGAGCAACAAAAACAGAAGAGAAATATCAAAGCAAGACTAAGAGGGATTGTGAGGAATTGGAGAAGGGCCCAAACAGCAACTTGGAAATTTTTTAAAAAGACCATTGGCTGCAACTGAATTTGATTTTCATCAAAAAAGAACTCACTTGGTTCCAAAGAGCTAGAAGTAATTGGTTATTTTTTGGGGATAAGAATACCAAGTTCTACCACATGGCTACCATCATTAGAAGAATAAAAAAAAATTAAATCCCTTAGGGATGACTAGGGCACTTGGACTGAAGATACTTGTGCCCTTCAAGGCCTTGTCATCTCTTATTTTCGAGAATTGTATATTGAAATTGCTCGTAGTAAACCTTTTTCAGCATTAAGGGAGCTTTCCCTTTGCTAAGTGAAAGAGATACAACCCTCTTGGATAAGCTTCCGACAGAAGAGGAGATTAAAAATACAATTTTTAACATGCATCCTCACAAAGCTCCTGAACCCGATGGCCTCTATGCCATTTTTTTCAAACCCAATGGAATATCATCGAGGAATCTGTGATGTCTCTAATCTTTGATACCTTTTCCAACCCTGCCAAGGTCTCAAACATCAACCAAACTCTCCTTTGTCTTATCCACAAGGTGGATAATCCTGAACATGTCTCTGAGTTTAAACCTATAAGCCTTTGCAATGTGATCTATAAACTGATCACTAAGATTATATCCAACAGACTGAAAGGACACATGTCTTCATCAGTCATGCCAAACCAATGTAGCTTTGCAAAAGGCAAGATTAGTGTTAATAACATCATAATAGCTCAATAGATTATACATGCTATGATGTGAAAGAAAGGAAAGAAAAGTTGGATGGTGATCAAAGTAGACTTAGAAAAAGCGTATGACATAATTAGTTGGGAAAAGACACCCTCCTGGACCTTAAATTTCCAAGCTGGATCATTAATTGAATCATGCATTGTGTCATCTCTAGCACAATGAACATCTTATGGAATGGTAGCAAAACTGAAGAATTCAAACCTTCAAGAGACCTAAGGCAATGTGACCCTCTCTCACCTTATCTTTTTGTGCTTTGCATAGAAAGGCTAGCTCATCTTATAACCAAAGCAACAAGTCTGAAAGTATGAAAACCAATTTCTTTCAATAAAAAGGCCCCCTATCTCTCATCGCTTGTTATTATATGATATTTTTATGTGCTTTAAAGCCTCTTTATATCAAGCTTTGGTAATGTATCATATCCTGGATCACTTTTGTGTTGTATCAGGACAAAAGATGAACATTAGTAAAAATAAAGTCTTTTTCTCAAAGAATATGAATCACAATAGAGTTATAGAAATTAACTAAGAGTTGTGTTTTTCTTTCACATCAGATCTTGGTAAATATCTGGGGATTCCTATCCATCATAAGAAAGTTAGAAAAAGAACTCTCAATTTCATCCTTGACAAAAGCCAATAAAAGACTCGATGCTTACAATTAAGCATCCTTAGCTTTGGCTGGCCGGATTACTTTAGCTAAATCTGTAGTGGCTGTTCTCCCTACTTACACTATGCAAACTTCTTCTCTCCCATGTGGGACTTGTGAGGAGTTGAAAATAAGATCAAGGGTTTTGTGTGGGATCTAACTCTACATTTAGGTAAGTACATGCTCTACCTTAAAACACAGTGTGCAAACCAAAAATAGAAGGTGGGTTGGGATTTTGGAATATAAAATAGTTGAATTATACTTATATAATGAAGATTAGCCATAGTTTGATCACTAATCTGGAGTCCTTGTGGGCTAGAGTTATTAGAAGCAAGTACAAAGTGGAGGGCAACATCATCCCTAATTTGAAAACCATCCATAACTCTTCAAATCTTTAGAAAAGTTTATCTAAAGTCTAGCCATAGGTGGAGGAAAACACTAGGATTTTGATTGAGGATGGTATGAACACTTATTTTTGGCATGACAATTGGGTCCCTAATTTTCACCTGCTGCAGAACTATGTCTTCCAAGGGATCACAACAAAAATTTTAGAATGAAAAGTTTAAAAGATGATAAATACTGAAGAGTTGTGGCATTGGTAGAATTTTGAGCACCTTATTATCCCTAAGGCAGCACAAGCTATAGCGGGAATCCTTCCCCCTTCTCCTTGAAATGGCAAAGACAGAGCATTATGGGCTAGCTTAAATGGTGGTGTCTTTTCTTTAAGCTCACCCTATAAGCTTATTTGAAATACTCAATTAATAGCCCCATTTTGAATTAGGATATTGTGTGGAAATGGGAAGGACCTCAAAGGATAAAAATATTCTTATGGATGCTCTTAGGGGAAAATCTTCTAACTAATCTTCGGAGAAGGCAGAGACATATGACTTCCTCTAGTCTTTGTCCTAGATGTCATATCCACATAGAGGACAACATCCATATGATTAGAGATTATTTTTAGGCTAGAAACATATGGCAGAAGTTGATCCATCTTAGAGTCTAGGAAGAATTCTCAACTGCCAACTCATGTAACCTCCTTCAACAAAACCTTATCCACAAATGTCATCCTTCTAAAAACTCTGATTGGCCTCTTCTGTAAGGGTATTACATGCTGGTTGATTTGGAATGAAAGAAATAATCTTATCTTTTCTCATAAAAGTATGTCCGAAGAAGCAGTTATTA